TAACGAATTATTCGTTATACATACCGCATAATTCGTTATAGCGTTAACGAAGATTCTTATAATGAAGTCCTGATTGGCTGGATCAGCAACTTCATTATATCGAGGTGTGACTGTACAGTACATTAAAAAAAATTTAACTACCTGAAAATAAGCAACGTTATAACAAAATTACGTGCTTATTTTCGAAGGAATACGGTAGTATTTAATCTTAAAAATTTTAAAAAAAGCTTAATTAGATACTTTTAAAAAGTATAGAGAAAGTTTGTTTTATTGGTTAATAATCAATGTGTGTAATAGTATTATGATTGGCTAAACAAATAATATGCGATAATACTACATAATTACATTTTTACAGTTATTTTTTTTGTATTTTTGCTTCAAATTAATTTTGCTTCAAATTAATTAACTATCTCATTATGGTTCAAAAAAACCATGGCCTATGTTCAGTACATAATTGTAATAACCAAACATCCCGTTTTTGACAATTTACTTCATTAGCATATGAAAAAGCTCAAAAAAAAAAACTTACAAAGCATATACATATTTAAGAATCGGATAACAATTGTGTCATAATCATTATATGAGCATTGTTGAACCTTATCAGAAGCATAAGTCAGAAATTCCTCTTTTTTTAGAAGCCGACGAAAATATAACACATCGTAAATATAAAATTATAATTAGTTAGCCACAAAAATAATAAAATCAGAGTTGTATTCGATCATCTAAACCTTTTTATAATGATCTACATAATAATCGGGCTTAGATCGAGAATACAGCTCCAATTTTATTGTTTTTACAACTAACTATATTATAATTTTTTATATATATAAAATTAAAAAGTTATTCATTTGCTAAGCAGATTACTATCCTTACAAAGGTTTTATATGAACAGCGTGGTAATTTAGAACTTAATTCTACACATTTTAAACAAATGATTGAAGCAGCAGATCTGCATTTACAAGGCCTTTTTAATAAATTAGTAAAGGCATTAATTCCTAATAACAGATCTGCATATAATAAAGTTGAAGCAAGAAAAACAATTGTGAGCTTATGTTATATTATGGCTGTAATGCGAAATAAGTTTGTTAATGATTTCAAATTAGAAGTTGGATTATTTTTATCAGCATCAGGATCAACACGTAATGCAATTGATACAATGAATAGTATTGGATTTTCTGCTTGTTATATAACAGTTAATAATTTTAAATGAAACTTGTAAATGACCCATTAAACATTAGAAAATTTCTTTCAGAAAATGTAAATAAAATTAAAAAAAAAATTTTAAAAAATTTTTATTAACCAAAATTTAATTACAAATAGAATGACCATTTGTACATCTATAACCTAGATGATTATTATGATATACATGAAAAAAGAAGACCCGATACTGTAACCTTATCTACTGCTAACCACATGGCTACTTGTATTTGTAAACAGGTTTCAAATTGTACACCGATACCTATTGTATTTAATAATGTGTCAGTTCATAATCCAATAAATATTGATGCAAGCAATATATGTTTTTGATTAATTCATGAATATCATAGAATATTTGATATTGCATATACCAATCGTAAAACCCAATGGCTCACTAATGGACAATTAGCTAATAATACCTTTGATCAAATTGATCTACTTACAGTGTATTGTTATGATGATGCAATTGCTGAAAGAAAAGAAGAATGTTCAATGAAAGGGTACGATTAATTGGATTTCAAAAAAAGAATTTGCATTCTATGAATGATTATATAGAAGCATTACAAATGATCTTAGATTATGCGCTTCTTAAGACTGGGTTGCAATTGCGGCTGCTCAAAAAAGATTCTGAGAGAAAAGTTTGCTGAGTTACGTGAAGTGTTTCAAGCTCTCTCTAGATCCGAATAAGATATATTTTTAATGGCCTAGTTAAAAGTAATGAATAGTAGAGAAATAACTGCCAGTCGACGTCTTAAAAAGAAAACGTGTACTAATAAAAGAACTTTTTATTATTGAAATCGTGATACGCCTCTTTGCCAAAAAACATATCTTAATATATTAGAAATTGGCTGTACTCACTTCGAAAATATCAGAAATCATCTGGTAATAAATGGTATAATACCATGCATTCATGATAATATAAAACGAATGCCGCGATGGAAAACCAAAATAACCATTGATACAACCGTTGCTACATCTGTGAAAAATTTTCTCGAAAATTATACCGAAATTCATAGATTACCAAGTCCTGGTAGAAACGTCAACTGAATTACTCAATCGCTTACACTTTTGCCAGCTAAAACAAGTTACAAATCAGTCTATTGTGGTTTTATTGCAGATCTTGAAAATGATAACACATTGAAATTATTAAAATATGACGCATTCCGCAAGTTGTGGCATCAATTAACGCCTTATATTTAAATAATGAGTCCAAGAACAGATTTATGTGACACGTGCTAACATTTCTGAAATGGCTTACAGTATAATGCTCGCAAGGAAAAAGAAGCAAAAGATTTATTAAAAAAATTCAAAGAACATTTAGTTAAGGCTAAATTAGAGAGAAACTATTACTATAAAATACGAAATTAGCAGAATAACAAAGGAAATTGGTAGACGACAATTACATTGTAATAGGAGATAAAGCTGATTATTGTAGCGTTAATTCGACAGCTTATTACAGTTACTATTGAATGCAAAACGTTCACGTATCCCATTCTGATCAACAGGTAAATAAAATTTATTATCTTAATCTATGTAAAGTGCATTTATTTGGTATTCAAGATGAAGCAATACGTAAACAAATTAATTACATTCTTGATGAAGATAAAATTATTGGCAAAGGTCTTAATGGCACGCTAAGCATGATATTCGATAGAATTAAGCGATTGAATAAAGGCGAAAAAATTTTAAAGATTACTTGTGATAATGCAGAAGATCAGAATAAAAATAACATTACCATTTGATTTTACCTGTATTTAATAATTTGCGATTATTATGAAAGTATCGAATTAAATTTCATGATACCTGGATATATTAAATTCAAGTGTGATGGTAGTTTCAGATTGATTAAGAAACTATACCGCAAAATGATTGTAGATTGTGTGGATCATATTGTTGATATTGTAAAAAGATCGAGTACAGTAGGATTAAATAAAGCTCAGTGTTATAAAGGTGGCAAAGGCTTTTAATACTTAAATCTTAATTCTATATTGGGAATTTTCTTTAAGAAATTGAGTGGTTTACAAAAATATCAGCATTTTATTTTTGAAGCAGCTAATCCTAAAATTGTTAAAACCCAGCTGGTTGCTAATGGTGCTTATACAGAATTCAATTTATTAAAAAATAAAAAAGCAAGTGTTGCTGAAATTACCAAAGAGATCAAATTTTTCTCAATTTTAATATTAACATTACCTCCATTGGATTACAAACGTCAAGAGTACCTTTACAAAAATATTCGCTCATTTATAAGGGATAAATTCAAAGACATTACTTGCTCAAGACCAAGATGAATGCATTAAATATATTTATATATGTAATTAATTATAATAAATATGTAACCATTTCTCATGACAAACTAAGAATATGAAACCCTCATTGATTAAATAATTGGCTAAGAATAAAAGCCAAATAAGAAGAAAGGGATTTTAACAATTTAGCCAGTATTAAAAAAGACATTAGAACCCTTTGTTTTATTCAATGAGGCTACACAAGAAAAGTAGTAATTGAAGATTATCCAGATCTTACTCAATTAAATCTTGGTAATAATGAACTAGAAGAGATTATTATTCGCAATTGCCCTGATTTAAAATTAGTGCAGGTGGCACACAATAAGCTTACTAAGTTAAAAATTGAGAATTGTCTTTCTATTCAAGAAATCTATACTCATAATAATCAATTAACTAAGTGAGACTTTTCAGTTGAAGACTTAAAGAGTAAAGAATTTGAGAATTATTTCTTATAGTGGTAATTCTTTAACAGTTAAAGAAAAGGTTAGATTAGATAGTTTAGGCTTATCTGAAATGGAAGTCAAAGCTAGAGTAGATGGTCCTGCCCAAGAATGATTAGATACTAAATACTTTGAGGATATTAGAGATAGTATTAAAAAACTTGATATTAGTGAATTAGGATTACAAGGAGAATTAAACTTAGAGGGTTTTACTAATTTAAAGAGTTTAGATTGTAGTGGTAATGAATTAACTAATTTAGGTTTAAATGATTATGGGAAGTTAGAATATTTAGATGCTTCTAATAATCAAATAGAAGAACCTGATTTTTTAGAAGGAAGCAAATTAGAAACTATTATCCTTAATCATAATAAACTAACTTACTTTGATAATTATCCTTCTTTAAATGATTCTTTAAAATTTCTTTCTTTGACAGCTAACAAATTAGGTAATAAAATACCTGGTTATGATGATTGTGTGAGTTATTTAGATGTAAGTGGCTACAAAGAGTTAGAATATTTAAATTATGTTATTGATAGAATAAGAGAAATAGATTTATCTAATAATTTAAAGTTAAATCAATTAATTTGTTACAACAATATCTTAAAAGAATTAGAGGTTAGTCATTTAAACAAATTAGAATATTTATTTTGTCAAGATAATGGTTTAGAATCTTTAGATTGTCATGATTTAAAGAAACTAAAAGAATTAAATTGTTCTATTAATTCTTTGAAATGAGACTTTTTAAATTTTTCTGGTTATGATAGTTTAGAAATTTTAGATTGTGCTGAAAACTCACTTGAAGAACTAGATCTTAGCAATCTTCAAAATCTGATATTTATATCTGCTAAAGAAAATCAGTTAAGAGAAATAAACACTGATTCATCAAAGATAACTTATTTGGATATTTCTAAACAGTTTATTGATAAGGTAGCAGATATTGAAAGCAGAGATTTTTATTATCTAGAATGTTATTTTGGTAACTTTGCAAAATCTATTGAAAAGCTTTTTTTTTTTATTCCTACTGATGAGTTTATTAGAGAACATCCAAAGTCAATTATTGATTGAGAAAAGTTTCCTAAACTTGAATTAGTATTTAATAAAAATGAAACTATTGATATTTTTGCTCTTCGTAATACTAAAAAAGTTATACAAATTCTTAATAATCCTGATAATTATTCCTTAGATAATTTACTTAAAATAGGAAACAAAGACTTAGATGAAGTATCAACTAATTTAAGACAGAAATTAATTCTAGTAATCAAAAAGAAACTAATAGATTAAGCAATAGTAGAGAGAATTAAAAAAGCCTAAGATTTATTAGATAATAAAAAAAACCTTGGTAATTTTTTTTTAAAAATTCATTTAAAATCTTTAAAATTCGATCTTCTCAAACCAGAAACTAAAGAACAAGTTATTAATTTAATAAGTGAATTAGAAAAAAAATGAGAGTCATCTATTGATAATTCAAATAAAGATAAAGATAAAGATTATTCTAAGAATGAAGATGTTTATGAGTTTAATAAAGAAGAGCAAAAACTCTTCTCTCTTTTTGATTTGGAACAATTAAAACAGTTTTTTATTCAGCATGAGATAAAAAATGTTTTTTTTAAAAATGATAATAGGTTAATAGTTGAATACCATAATAATAATAATAATAATAATAATAAAGTTAAATTACAATAAATATTTAATTACTTAAAGAGCAATAATAAAACCTTTTTATCCAAAAAAGAACAATTACCACCATTAACCAACTCAACCACTTATCTACCTTATATTTTGGAAGGAGCAATAGTAGTAGTAGTGATAGGAATTTTTATCTATTTAATAAGAAAAAAGAAATTAAAATAAGTAAGGATTAAATAACATTAATTTTTACTAAGTAAAATTGTTCTTTTTGTATAGTATTAATTACAACTGATAATTAAAAACTGAGTTTAATTTTTTTCAAGTTTTTGTTTCTTTCTCAGTTCATTATGTGTTGATGTTAATGCTCATTTATTAGTTATGATTTTCCTTTCCTCTTGGTAAATTTCATAAGTGATTTTTTCTTTATCTAGATATTCCTGAAGTGTTTAGGTATTATTGATTTTAAAAATATAAGGAACAATTTTTTCTCCTTGAACTTTTTTTAAAATACTTTGAATAATACTGTAATTTTTTGATTCCATAGTGGATTTAATGTAAATTAGTTTCATATTAATATTTTATATAGAGATAATCCTATATTCATCATGTTATGGTTTATATTCATCACATTCTGGTATGATAAAGGGAACATTAAAATTAACAAGTCCATAAGTTATAAATGAGCACCATTATTATATTATCAGTCATACTGGTCAATTTTACAGCTACATCATAATTAGCCTCTCATTTATGTCACCAATAATAAAATGTTCACTTTGTCTAGTTTTGTTGCAGTCTGCCCCATATAATATTAATATATATTATAGAGTAACTATTAGATTATGCATAATTATTAGGTTATTTTTTACCTAAAAAAGTTCAATTTGAAAAAAATATTTTGATAATTCACTATATATAAATACTCTGTGACCATTACATAAAAAAATATGAAAAAAACTTACTTTATTTATAAAATACCTACTGTTCTATTATGAAATATTATCTTAAACATTTTGTCAGATTTTATTAATTCAATTATCAAATGAGGCAAAAATATAGGGTTGAAGCTCTTTAACTTGCAAAAACTTTTAAATTATTTGTCAAGAAATGAGCAAAGAAAAAAAATAGATTTTTCTGATTTTTATATTACTTAGTTGTAAAGAGTGAAAAATTCCTTGTCATATATTATTACCTATAAAATAAACTAATTTAATTTTTATTAAAACATACTATTCTTCTAAAATATGCTTATTATTTTTTTACTCCTTATCAGTATCAAGCCATGAAAATATAACTTTTTTATCCTCAAGTTCATAACAAATAATTTCTTTTCCTATCAATTTTTATGCATTAATATTTTCATATATTTATTGAAGTTTCTTTTTCTTCTCTTGCAAAATTACATATTTGTATATTAGTTTTTATCTTATCTTAAAATTAAATAAAATTAAATCTATCTTTTTCTGTAATAATCACAAACTTATCATGATCCATCAGGAAGTTTCAAACAGACATAGAATGTGTCAATATATGTTATGTATTGATCAACACTAAAAAGTGTTGATATACGAACCCTATGTCAATCAATGCTATTTAAAAGAGCGTTGATTAATACATGTTAGATGTAAAACAACACATAGTGAAACAATGGTATCACACGACGGTATTGAAAAATGAGTATACTAGTGTTGATTAATGTATTGCTTGACGCAAAAATACAATAGCAATCACTGTAATTTATGGTAATTTTTATTATAAATTTCTACGCTAAAATGCATATGTATTTTAATACATTATAAAGTAAAATTGGTTAATTTATAATTAAAAGCGTTAAACACATTTAATCTATAAAATTCACATCATTTTCTAGGCTTTGATAAAGATCGTATAACTCTTTATCAGTGGAAGTATATTCACTATGTTGCAGGCTATCCTGTACTTCTTTTTCCTCCTCGTACTGCTCATCCTCATCATCCTAATTAAAGATAGAACATTATAAGAAATAAAGTTTATGAAGTAATAAATATTTATAATATTACCTGTTCATTATATTCAATAACATCTTTTCATGACTCAATCACTTCAGTATCAATTTTCATCGAGAGATATTCAACATCAAAAATTGTTTCGAGCACTGATTGAATCCAAACAGCATTTTCTTGCATTAGTTTCTTATCAGATGCAAAAGCAGACTTGATGATCAACGCAACATATGTGTCTGATGATGGGTCATCTGGATCACTTGGGCAATATAGATCATCATATACTGCTTTTACCTCTTTGCTTGTCTTCCAATCTTTTATTTGCTCCTTAGACCAGTTGTCTCCAAAGAGCTTAATCCTGATAAACCCGAAGACAGACCATAGGCTTTCTTTTATACGACGAATATAGTACCCCTTCTTGATACGATTTGCCCTAAGCAACTTTAGTTTATTCAAATAAATTATTAGTTAATAAATAACATAAATTATGACAACTAAAAATATAAATAAAAATATTAACGGCTGAATATAACTTTTCATCCCATAGATCGTCGTAACTAATGTCGTTGTTTTTCAGTTTTCAAAGCTGATTTGTGCAATATTCATTGCCGTCTAATTTCGCCTTTAGACGTGCTTTGAGTTCATCATCTGTTAGTTGCTTATATTCGTGAAATAACTCGTAGGATAATTTTCGAATCGCTTCCTGTAATATAAATTAAGTTGATAATTAAAATCAAGATAGAGTAAAACAAAGAAATAATAATAAACATGCATATGTTTAC